GTGTTTTTCTGTAACGCTACCGATCTCCGACCATGTAATGTCTGTGTTGTGTGTGTAAGGTTGTGCATGTGGCGAATAAAGCTTTGATTGATTGATTGAATGAAATTCTGACCACTGAAAGCAAGTAGTCTGCTCCTCTAGATAGAGCTCTGCAGCGATGGGCAAAGCGAGGCTTTGTAAAACACTGCAACATTTAAAGCAATTGTGCCAGAATTGTAACGAGGCTTTGAAACAGTCCGACCCCCCCACAGTCACCCCTACTCGCCACATCACATCTGATAATGATCTTCTGTGAAACAATGAATGAAGAAATTTCATTGGACTACTCTTGAGTGCAACTGAATTTTGTTATTTAGCAGCCAACTGACTGCAGGGTGTAAGCGCTGTCTTTGTGCAAGTTTACGTACCTGCTGCCGACTCGGGATTGGGAGAACCAATCGGCGCACCACAGTTCATACGTGTCAGGAAGGGCACAGTGGGTGGACTCAGAAAGGGATGAGGAGGGGTCGCTATTGCTGGTGAAGGTTCAGGAGGTAAAATTTGACCTCCTGAAGAAGGACAGATTTGGGTCAGCTATTAAATATTACAAATGGTGTTTCACTGGTAAGCTTTACAATACATTTCTGTTTACAGTATTCCAAAATCCTCAAATTTCCTAAGTAAGTATCAGCCTAACTGACCTTTGCAGCCTGTGGTGAGGTTTTCCTCCAGGTCACTTCCATCCCCACAGTTATCAATGCCTTTTTCATCACACACCAAACTCAGAGGGATGCACTTTCCATTCCTGCAAGTGAAGTAAGGCTCGTTGCTGCAATCTGATTGATTAAAACCTGAAGGAAGAAGACGACAACAAAGACAGTGAAAAAGAGGGATTACTTTGGTAGTGGGACTACTGCCACTGAATACTGACACACACATTCAGTGCATGCAATGGATTTCTACCTTGTACAGAAAATAGGTATGGTAGGTATGGTCAGAGATGGGAAGTACGAAGTACAAATACTTCCTTACTCTACCTAAGAACATGTATCTGTACTCTACTTGAGTAGTTTATTTCCTGACTACTTTTTACTTTTACTCCCTGACAGGCTTGTTACTTTTGGTTTGATGGATTTAAGTTGAATGCGTCAAACATCAAACCGATTAGAATTTTGACAAATTAGTTTGTTTGGTTTATGCCACAGCACGAGAACGACTGCAACTGTAAGCTGTGGTACTTCAGCATCGAGCTAGCCCTACAGAAGAGGAGCGAACATAAAGAGTGTGAGGTAATTTCTAACACAGCGTTTCTATCAACTCAACAAACACAAACTGTGTGTGTGCAGTTTGTCTCTCAGGCTACGTTCACACTAGCCTAGATAGATTTGAAAACGGCGTTTTCGTCTGAAAACGCTCCACATCCACACTAGCGTTTTCAGTCATTTTCACAGAGTTGTGCGTCCGCAGGCGCAAAAGCGAGTGGGAAATAAAGAATTCGAAGAAAAGCTATCTGGAGCATGTACAAACTGATAATAATCTTTTTTAGGGCTGTCAAAACAACTGCTGCATTATGCACTCCACTATCTTTTTTTAAGTGGTCACATGACTGCATCACATGACTAAAATGTGTCATTGTTTTTTCCCTCGAGGAAAACGCCGTCTCAGTGTGGGAGGCCAAAACGGAGAGAAAACGATGTGTGGACGTAGCCTCAGTGTGTTGCAGCTAAAGGTCCAGCTGCCATATTTGACAGGGAGAGAAGTGAAAGAGAGCTAACTTCACTCAAAGATCAGAGTCAGAATGTCTTTATTGTCACTGTCACAGGTACAACCACATTATAAGTGGTCCCCGATCAGTGCATAAAAAATAAAAATGTGAAAATATAAATAAAACAATAAAATTCAATAAAATCAATAAATAAAATACTTAAAGTGCTAATAAAAGTAGTATGAGCACACATTCACATACATTCACATACATTCCCACATACATGCTTCAGTCAGCGCATAGATCAATTCAAGAGTGGCGTGATGGACATTTTTTAGTAGCAGCAGCTTTTTTAAGACAGTGGGTATTGTGTAGATCTTCCCGTGTGGGGAGAGGGCAGCTAGTGATCCTTTGGGGGGTGTTAATGATCCCCTGGAGTGCTTTTCTCTGAGCCACGGTGCAGCTAGTGTACCAGATGCATATGCAATAGGTCTGTGTCTGTTGGTGGCTCTGCAGAAGGACACCAGCAGTCTCTGTGAGCCAGTGCTGAGGCTCAGGGCTGAGGATGTGTGATGGCCAACTCACTCTCTGTCTACAGCCTGAGAGGAAGCTGTTGAGCCACATGCAGGTGCTGTATGGAAGCCCCAGGTCCTGCAGCTTAACCACCAGTTTGTGTGGAAGAATGGTGTTAAAAGCTTAGCAGTAATCCATGAAAAGCATCCACACATAGCTCCTGGTGTGTTACGGCAGCATGGAGTGCTGTGGCTACAGCGTCTCCCGTGGACCGGTTTGCTCTGTAAACAAACTGGTGTGGGTCCAGGTTGCGAGGCAGGGCTGCTGTGATGTGACTGGACCAGCTCCTCAAAGCATTTCATTACCACTGGGAAAAGTGCCACTGGTCTGGTCATTCAGGCTGGTGATGTGGGCTTCTTAGGCAAGGGGACTATGGTGGAGGACTTCAGGCAGAGTGGGGCAGTCACCTGTGCGAGGGATTTGTTGAAGATCCTGGTAAAGATCCCAGCCAGCTGTTCTACACAATCCCTCAATATTCGACTTGGCACACCATCAGGACCAGCCGCCTTCCTTGGGTTAACGGCCTGCAGAGTGAGCCTCACCTCGTGCTCTTCCAGGGTACCATGGCCTCAAAGCGGGCGAAGAAGATATTCTTGTCCTCCGCCAGCAGCAGGTCACCTTCAGCAGCTCTGAGGTTGATATTATAGTTAGTTAGATGATGGATACCCTGCCACACCTGCTGGCTGTTGTTACTCTCCAGATGGTTCTCAATCCTCCTACTATAGTTCCCCTTCGCCTCTCTGATGCATCTCTTCAGGTTGGATCAGGCTGCGGTGTAGTGGTCCCTGTTGCCAGACCTGAAAGCGATGTTCCTCTCCTTCAGCAGCTCCCTGACCTCCCGGGTCATCCAGGGCTTTTGGTTGGGATGTGCCCGGATACATTTGTCTACTGAAACAGTGTCTGTGCAGTGTTTTATGTAGCAGAGAAAACTGTCTGTGAACATTTCCAGGCCTTTAAATATGATCAACCTATCTCTAATAAT